CCACAGCTTTAATAACGGCTAGGTATTGTCAATTTTTAACATATGTGCCCACTTAATAATAATGGAGATGGAAAAACAACAAGTACAAACCCCGATTGTATCACTACAAGTGATCGAGGAAATACCACAACAAGTGAGTGAGGAAATACCAGCGATTGCACAATCACCACAACAAGTCAGAGTGACTAAGAATCCTCGAAAAGTTGCAGCTGGTATGAAGGGTGGGTTGGCGAGGAGTGAGTGAGTAAGTGAGTTTGGTTTTCCGCCGCTTTTAGCAATATTCCAGCAATATCATGGCGGGGGACACCAGAAATGGGCTTCACACATTGTACCCATGTCGGGATTCGAACCCGGGTCTTCGGCGTGACGAGCGAACGCTTAAACCACTAGGCTACCCGACCGCCCGGTTGGCGAGGAAGGCGAAACTAATGCATAATACTGAACATAGTCGTCCGATTAAAACTTGGGCCCCCTACGTACTAGGGGTTGTGTTATTATTACTAGGTTGTATGGTTATTTTATAAGACCGGAGAAGAGAAAACGTCAAGTTCAAAAATTAGATGAGGTTCAATTAGAGTTAAGCCCTCATGTAATGTTATAAAAAGCATGACTACTCCAGTTACAGATGGTAAAATGTTGGTAAACGCAACGTATCATTCAGCGGTGGTCAGCGGCTTGGCCATTGGCTATGCCCGTATAGCTAAAATGATTACTAAAGCCAAACCACCAAAGCTAGATTTTAATTGTTACGATATCGGTATGATGATTCTTGATATAGGATTAGCAATGGCAACAAAAGATATGCTCATCAAACAAGGGCTTATCCCAGAAGACATAAAGAAGTAATTAAACATTTGAATATTTTATAAACATAGTAAGGCGACACTTTTTTTATTTCTTGGTTTACGGATTTCAAAAGTGAGGCAGCCTCTCACATTTTTTTTTACTTGAATTTTGTCCTAAAAAGTTAGGTAGGTATGAAAAAAAATATCCTGGCGTAACAAAAGTCAAATAACTCAATTTTTCAAGAACATTTTATTATATCCCTGGCACTCAGCTTGTGCACTTTTGGCAACATAACAATATTCATGTCATGGGTGGAAATGCATGAAAGAAGCTGCTATTTTGGCAACATGGGCAACGTTTAACTCTTTCAACACCAGCCAACCAGAAGATTACTGCTGTGACACCAAGTTCCCAGAGACTCTTGTGTGATAGATGAAACCAACATTTATCAAGGAAATTATCTGCTGAAATTAACATCTTTGCTACTACATGTTTGGCCATACACTATTTGAAAGGTCTAATTAATCCTATTGTTTATAAATATGAAAGTTATGTGTATTACATTATTTAAATAATTCATTAACAACTAAATAAAGTTCGTTTTAAATAAAAATAATGTAAGCTAAAACATTCATAACGTCCAGATTAAGGACCAATGAAGCGCAAATTTAAAGATTTTTTTGCCAAATATAAGAATTCATAAAATCGTCCATACCCATTTCTTTTTTATTTTTATTTGTTTACGCTGTTGGAACATTATTTTAAAAAGAATTACAAATAATATCTGTCATAACCCATTTCCCAATGATAGTGGCTGTCCGCTCACTAACATGATGAAATACCTCCGTTTTCAAAGCTTCGTACGAATAACACAAACGTCTAAGGCTGCCATGTCAGTATACATTAAAAAAACTTATATTGTTTCACCGACAAAATCTGCTACAAGGTTCGTGATTGGTCAAATTTTAGCACGTGACCTAACGCAGCCAATCAAATTACAGCAACGGTAATTTTCAGACTTTGGCGAAAAAATATGGAACTTTATGGATGTATAGAGCTAGGTTACGAGCTATGACAAAGATTTCTTATGCATATATTTTGGCATTAAGACATCGTGTCCGAGCCGAGAAATCGAGGCGACGAAAGGCGAGATGTCATTTGACTGACGATTACAAGCGATCGCACGAAAAGTTGGAAATAATAACTAAGATGTCAGTTTGGCAACTTTTATAGATATATTTTTGAAGATTTTATTTCTTTGTAAATAAAGACGTTCCAGCACTTGAAACGTCTTTATTTTGCTGTTTGACATGTTCGATGAGGACCCGTTGTTGAAGTGTGTCCGAGAATATTTTCAATAACATTGCGGGAAATCGTGTCTAGTGAATACATTTTTAATCTATAGATAAAAAAAATGATAAAATCAAATGGAATACGTATTTCAGACATTGTGAAATGTGACAGATTTAATAAATGAATGATGTGACAAGTAGGTTAATATAATTACAAACTATTTTGACGTGACTTGGACGGTCTACCGTGCGGTGTGACTTGTGGCTTTGAACGGCCAACAGTGTTGAACTAGTTAAACTGGTCACCACTGCGCTTTGTGTTGACAAGCTATGATGGTATTAGAGAAGGATCCCAGCAAGAAATATCAGAGTGACTTCCCTTTGCTTTACGCTCGACGAGAAAATGTAAATTTTGTTTGTTTGAACTTTTTGTCGAAAATATCGGCGGTAATAAAAAAAAGGGTAATTTTCATTTTTATTTTTTTTTAACATTTGGACTTTGAAAGAGCGGCGCATCCGTAAACCAAGAAATAAAAAAATTGTCGCCTAATATTGAACACAGTTCGAAACATCATGGCAACAATTGTGATGATGGTCGATGGAGCTATTGTTAATGCTCTAGCTTTTTCGGGGAGTAATTATTTATTTTCTACTCTGAGGGAATCAAACGCTAAAGAAGTTGAAGAGGAGCGTAAATGACATAATAAAGCATTAGAACAACTCGAAGCAGCCCAGTCACAATGGGCCAGGCGCAGAATGGAGAGATTAGATTTTATTAATGATGAAATGCCTAAACAAGGACACTCAATTCAAACTTTTAAGGATGTTGAATCTACCATGCATGAATACTTCCTCTTTTATGGAAAGACACTTGACCCAATGCTGAGGCCAACACTCTCTCAGTTTTATACACCGTCGGAGGCTCAGAAGGACCGTGAGATAGCATTTATAGTGTTTGGGTTGTCTGCAGTTGCTATTTATAGCTACACAATTATGCACAAGCTATAAATAGATCTGGCTGGTTGAGAGACTCGATACCGTATTTTCTTGAGTATAGTGCGCACCCATGTATAATGCGCACCCCCCTCTAGCGGGTTCCATATTTTGGAAAAAAAGAAATATGAATATTATGCGGAGAAAAAATTTACACCGTACCCTTTCAGCGAAGTCCGGCAAACGAACGGGTGCTGAGAAACTTCGTCAGTACAAATTCGAAATTTGAGATAAAAAATCACCAGACATGTTTATTTACCGTTTAAATAGTATTTATTGTTCTGCTAGGCATTGTTTTATATCTAGGGATTAAGATTACCTTGTGTATTTTCTCGTAAACTAAGCCGGAAACAGCAATCAGCTGTACACATGTTTTCTTGGAATCGACCGGTGATTCGGTCAAGACACAACCAATGATATAACTTTATAGGATTTTTAATGCAAGGATCGGCAACAATTGTATCTGAAACTATATTTTTTATCAGGAATAATATATTCCATTATTTTCTTAATTATATGCAGCTTTTACTAAACATATTTAAAATAATAATAACCCTAAGCGAAGCAGCTGATCGCTATTGCCGGGTATTATTTTTTACATGGAACCAGTCTGACCAGTCACCGTCAAGGCTCACGCGCACGTGATCGGGAGAATTTCATGTTGACATAGAATCGTCAAACAAAAACAAATATGACTTTTAACGAGTCAAAGTATGTCATTTATGATATATGTATCCATTCTCTGTCAACTAAAGTTCGTTTCAAGGCGTCAATAGCGGTATTCTGACCGTGGTTGCTGTTAATAACGGTGAGTTGTGTGATCTTCCGATCGCTTCACACACGATTTTGCCGAAATTAATAAAAACAATATTATAAGGAATTTTGAATAAAATTAATGAAATAAGTTACAAACATAAGTCCAGATATACAAAGAACACTTTTTATAGCCAGACAGTGTAATTACATGATTATTTTGCGTACTTCAGTATGGATTTGTTGACATGGTATTTCCGGTGTTTCGTGCTTACGGTAATGTCTTTCCATGGGGGAAAAAAACATCCAAACTCATAATTAGTGTATAATGCGCACCCCCTTCTACACAGCTGTGTTTTTTTGAAAAAAAAGTGCGCACTATACTCAAGAAAATACGGTATGTGCTTTTCATTTAGACAGATGATATGATAGGTGTATAATCATGAATCTGTGCAGATATACACTCATGGGGAAGCCAATTCAATGTCAGAAACCATGCGTTGGTGTATATTGTGGTACTCATGCTTTTTACATCAGACAAGGAAATGTAAATTATACATGTTCTGTATGTGGGATAGGTGTCAGATGTCATTATTGTTTATGTAGGAAACACGGCACTGATAGGGTTAGGAAGCAGATTATTTACGCTAGGAAGAAAGATTACATCAACGAGAGGAATAGGTTGGGGAGAATAAAATATATGGAAATATAACCATTTAGATAAATGTCTTATTTTGTATATATACCACAATGGTTTTCGTCAGAGAGTTGAAAGCTTTGGCAAAACAACGTGGTCTACATGGTTATTCTCGAATGAGAAAAGCTGAATTGATCGATCTACTCGGTTTGGAATACAACAAACCCCAGACTGTTAGAGAACTCAAAGCTTGAGTGAAAAAAAGTGGGCTGAGGGTTTATTCTCGAATGAGAAAAGCTGAATGGATCGCTTTACTAGATAAAAATCAACCAGATGATGTCGATAAAAATCAACCAGTTGATGAGTTAAAATTTGTACCTACAGACGGTGTGAGTAAATATCTAAGAGGTTGGAAGATGGATATTAACTCTTTCATCCCTGGCTGCCCAAGAGTTATGTCCCTTGAAACACTGACAAGGCCTGCACACTGGCCTCCCTGGCAGTATTATTGGAAAATCACACTATCATTTTTGATGCACTTTTTCTACCAGAAACTTGCTTTTAATATACATTTATCATATACCATTGTAACGAGGATTAAGTATACTGTAATATTCTATGTTGTTATTGTCTCTAACCTTTGTTATTTTCTAATTACAGGTGTTTACAAGTGAAATAAAACTTGAAAACACTGAAAAAATGATAACAGACAATGAATTTTGGCTCAAATTGTATTAAAAATCACAAAAATAAATCACAGATACAAGGTAAACATAACACGGTGGTCTTGTCATCTTGGACGGCACAGGTAATCCCAGTTGTTACAGGTGAATTCTCTTCATGCACATCTGTAAACAAATAAACAAGTTTACAACACTTGGTACCGACTTTGTTTTCTATACTGATGTTACATATTACTTATAATACACTTACAGCCTCTTAGGTAAACTCATTAACAAAGGTAAACTTGTTAATGCAGGTAAACTCATTAACACAGGTAAACTTGTTAACGCAGGTAAACTCGTTAATACAGATAAAAACACAAATATCAGATTTATTTTGTTCTTTTTTAGGATTTGAAACAAAAAATAAGTATTAATTTACTTTGAACCACAGCTACTATAAGAATGACATCACAGGGAAGATATCACAGATTGATCTGAAAGGAGGGAAAGATTGTAAAAGGACAGAAAGATCCTAAATTCAAGTTCTGCAAATATACAAGTTGTGATAACATATTTACAATACACTGCTATTTACAATTGCATAATAAATTAAATCAGTACTTTATATAAATCAATTAATAAATAAATAATTATTACAGTTACTAAAATTTAAATTATGATGTAAAAAACAAGAAAACGAACATGAACATGGAAATAAATTTTATTCAAATTGAGCGAAATACAAGGACATACGACAAACCGGCAAACTACAATTCGGATTGCGATCAAAAAAAGAAATTTAAAAAAAAAGAAAGAGATACGTCATGCCACTCACCTTTGTTGTTGTTGTGATCACTCGTTCACGTGTAGGCTGCATTCTCATTCATCGCCCTGATAATCTGTTCAAACACAGAATCATTGTAAAACAGTTGGAAAAAATCAATAGCACGACTCTTCACTCACCGTGTCAATAAGTATTCTTGAGTCCGGTCGCCTCTTCAAAATCCCTCATGTCTCCACCATTGTGGTCCCTCTGCCACTCCCATTCTTGAAAGTTGGCGGGGGTGTGTGGGGGGACACCTCGTCGAAACCGTCAAAATCTTCACCAAAATCTTTTCGCGAAAATTCCCTCTCCCCTTCGCGTAAATTATTCAAATCAAACACATTATTATTCCCGATAGAGTCGTTGTTAGTCATCTGATCGCTATCCGAATCGTAGTTGGCCGCCATTACGCTAGATTTACGATTCAAGCAAGAAAAAATACCAGTCGCGAAAACAGGTGACATATCAGTCGGGGCGAAAGGGTTAATTCGAACATGGATGTTAACGATGTTAAGCCCATCGTATCGAGTAAAATTAACGAGGAGTTAGATGATTTAAATAGTATAAAATACCAGCTGACGGTTAAAATGTCATTGAGTAAAAGTAGCGCAGACGATAGCACTGAATATACTGAACCATATTTCCGTAGCAATCAAGAAGTTATAACCGAATCCGATACTATAAACACATCATTAGATACATCAATTCAGAGGATACAAGAAACTTTAGAACGCTGGACTCATAGAGGTTCGGGTTGGGGTGTGGATAAAATCGATAGTTTATATTTAGATATAGCAAATTATATGCATTTCAAAGGTGGATCTTATAAAGATTTACCCCTGTATTATAAGAAGAAAAAAGCCATAATTAATGTAAAAAATAAAGGCGATGACTGTTTCAGAATTATGATAAGATCTGCATTGTTCCCCGTAGACAAATATCCGGACAGACCTTCTAGCTATCCCCAAAACGATGGACTAAACCTCGATGGTATAGAAGAACCTACACCAATATCACAAATTGATAAGGTGGAAAAGCAAAATAATTTAGCTATAAATGTTTTCGGACATTCTTCTGAAGGAATTGTTGTACACAGGATAAGCTCCGCTCCGGGACATATTCCCAGAATCAATTCATTTCTAATCGAAAAAGATGGTAAATATCATTATACATGTGTCATGGTGACTGATTTACGACACCCATTGTCTGAAGAACATTTGATTGCAAAGGCTCATAACCCTGGAGCCATGACATCTATATGCCTTGAAACATTTAATTGCTGTTATTTATAAGATGCTAATCCTAATTGTTAATCCCCAGTTTTGTGTACATCTGCCATCCTGAACAGGATGTGCAAGTATGTCACTGATGATTTACTGTTTACATTTATATTTATTACTTACTAAATGTCAGGTGACCTTGGCTATATAAGCCTTGGTCCAGGAGAAGAGAAGAGGAGAGAAGGGGTTTGACTCTCTTACCAAGCAGACCTCTCTCCCACAGCCCAGAGTGTGTACCGACTCTCTGTGGCACCCTCAGTTATATTCTAAGATATTGTAAATTGTTAATTGTTCTTGTAAATAAAATTGTGATTAGTCTCCTGTGACTCTGGCTCTTTGCTGACTAATTCCCCAAGAAAACCAGCACGTCATTTGGAAGGTATTGTTCACCCAGAACAGTTCCATGATACATGGATAAAGAGTTTAAGCAGACTATTATACGATCAAACAACCCATAAGGGAAAGAAATATTTCTTTGAAAGATGCCTACATGGGTACAGCAGACAAGATCTATTAGAAGCGCATAAAGAAGACTGCAGAGGTGTTGGACAGAATGCTATCAGGATTGATATGCCTAAAGAGGGAAAAAATATATTAAAATTTGAACATTATTGTAATCAAATGCCAGTACTGTACGTAATTTACGCCGACTTCGAAGCACTTATCAAACTTATATAAAATACCGAACGCAATAATCAAGATAGTAGTTTTACGTACAAAACTCAAGAACATATTCCTTGTGGGTTTGGATATATAGTTGTAAGGTATGATGGGAAAACAAACCCGCCCGTGATTTACAGAGGTCCCAATGCAGCGGGAGAGTTCCTAGAATATCTACAAAATGAAGAGAGAATAATCAGGGAAAATTTATCGCGTAAGAAACCAATGTGTATGACGAGGGATGATTGGAGGGCCTATAAGAAGTCAACGAGTTGTCATGTTTGTAATAAACCCCTGAATGGGGATTCTGTAAGAGATCATTGCCACGTCACGGGTAATTATCGGGGAGCCGTGCATAACGAGTGTAACTTGAAACTAAAAATGAACTCTCAAACAATATCCATCCCCGTTGTGTTTCATAACCTTAGAGGATACGATTCTCATCTCATCATGCAAGCTATCTCAAAGACCGAAGGTCGCTTAACGTGTATTCCTAATAATATGGAAAAATACATATTGTTCTCGTTGACTAAAACTATACATTATACAGACTAGGATGGGAAAGCCAGAATAAAGCAAAGTAATGGGTTTAGATTTATAGACTCCGTACAGTTTCTGTTATCTTCCCTGGACAATTTAGCTAATGCGAACAATCCCGATGACTTTGCGATAACAAATCAATATACCGATAGGTGCCGTCATTTGTTGCTGAGAAAAGGTGTATAACCTTACGAATATATGGATGATTGGTCTAGATTCAACGAAACTAAATTACCAACTCTTGAATCATTCTATAGTAACTTAACAGAAATAAAATAACAGATGCCGATTATGAACACGCTCTGACGGTGTGGGATAAATTAGGTTGTAGGAATTTAGGTGATTATCACTATCTGTACTTAAAAACTGATGTACTGTTACTCGCCGATATATTCGAGATATTTAGAAAGACATGTTTAAAACAATACGGCTTGGACCCGGCATGGTACTATTCCAGTCCTGGACTATGCATTGTTGAAGAAGACCGGTGTAGAACTAAAACTACTCACAGATTACGATATGCACTTGTTTATTGAGAAAGGATTAAGAGGTGGTATATCGATGGTAGCGAAAAGCTATTCTAAGGCTACGAATAAATTAGTGGAAGGATACGATCTGAGAAAACCAGACACGCACATATTATATCTCAACGCCAACAATTTGTACAAATGGGCTATGAGTCAACCTTTACCCACGAGTGGTTTTGAGTGGGTCGATGTGAATGATATCAAAGTGGATGAAATCCCCTCAGATTCCGATAAAGGGTACATACTAGAAGTTGACTTGGAATATCCAAATTCATTACATAAAGATCATCACAGTTATCCGTTAGCTCCCGAAAGATTAATGGTTAATAAAGATTGGATGTCGGAATATCAACACTCCTTGATGGGTAATAGTAGGTTAGCTAATGTAGAAAAACTCATACCAAATTTGATGGATAAGACAAAATATATAGTTCACTACAGAAATCTCCAGTTATATCTATCGTTAGGTATGAAACTAAAGAAAATACACAGAGTTCTAAAGTTTGATCAAAGCCCTTGGATGGAGCCCTATATAAGACTGAACAGCTACCAGCGATTTTGAAAAGAACCTATACAAGCTCATGAATAACTCAGTATTTGGTAAAACTATGGAGAATCTGAGGAAGCGTGTTGATGTTAAATTAGTCAGGTCTAATGAGGAAGAAAGACTCAGGAAACTTATAGCCAGTCCGGCTTTTAACAGAAGCAACATATTCGATAACGACTTAGCCACGTTGCATATACAGAAGTGTAATATAAAATTCAACAGACCGGTGTACGTTGGTATGAGTATTCTTGACTTGTCAAAACACTTAATGTATGACTATTATTACAACGAACTTAAGAAGCAATACGGTGATAGATGTGAGGTGTTATATACCGACACAGATTCTTTGTTGATGGAAATACAAACCGAGGATGTGTATAAAGATATGGGAAAATAGATATGTACGACACAAGCGATTACCCAAAAGATAATCCACTGCACAGCGTAGTAAACAAGAAAGAAGTGAGCAAAGCTCACATACCCCCGTTATCCCCGCTGGTCAACAAAAAATAGTAAATAGTTTGTTAATTAATGAAATATTACATATTTCTAACTGATTTTAACTTCAATGTTTTAAAAACTAAGATTGAGTTCCAGTGACAATTGACACACACACCCCCCCACCCCCAATCATAGTGGTAAATGTAGCAAGTTTGGTGAAGCTAGGATACATAATATTGTAAACATGGATCGTACAAAAACTCTACCCAAAATTTATGTTTCTAATGTTTCCATGGAAACGGCAAAAATTAAAAAATTCAGAATCTTAAAACTAGCAAAAGGCACAAGTACTCATTGTGGTAAATGTGTGTAGCAAGTTTGGTGAAGCTAGGGTGCATGGTTAAAAAGTTATGGGCCGTACCAAAACTCGGATGGAAGAACGGACAGAAGGACGGACGAACGGAACGCTATATACCCCTGATTTACTTCGTGAAGGGGGTATAATAAAAAGGTGTTAGGTAAGATGAAGGATGAATGTGCTGGGATCCCTATAGCTGAGTATGTCGGATTAAGACCTAAGATGTATTCTATAAAGAAGTCTGTTAATGGAGAGATAAGGAAAGCTAAAGGCGTTAAGAAGTATGTGGTAAAAAAGCATATCAAACACGAACAGTATAAAGAAGCATTATTCAATGGTAGAACGTTCAAACATGAGATGAACTCTGTAAGAAGTTACAATCATAGGATATATGGATTAAGAATGAACAAGACATCATTATCCCCCTTAGATACAAAGATATGGATTGATAAGGATGGTGTAACTACCTATGCTTATGGTTCTGGTGGTAATACTGTATCGTCTGGAATTATGAGCAACTCTTCTCGTACAAATGCCCTGCCCGGTCCATCTTTAAGATAATAAAGAATAGGCTCTCCTTCTTTCATAACCAATCGACTAATGTTATATGTCTTAAGAGACCAAATCGGATCGGTTGCGCGACGTAGGCCTCCTTCGAGTTCACCGGGCTGATATAAATATCTTACGCTTACTCTATCCGGAAGTTTTTGTTCTTTGTCTCTCCTCAGTGCTGAAGATTCGGAAGTCACAGATTTCATTTTAATCACATCGTTACTTCATTATTCAGCGCTGATACAACAGCTGATAATCGTGTCACCCATTCGGTTGATCTCAATCGCTCGGATTTCATTTCAATCCCATATTGATAGCCAAACAAACGTTCTGCTAATGTCCTGTTAAATCTTTCAACGATAGCTTGACTACGGTGGGCCTCTTTTTCACCACGCCTGATTTCGACATCGTGCTTTGTTAACAGTTTAGTTACTGATCCCATAAATTCACGACCAGGATCTACTTGAAATAGCTTAGGCCATTTTAGTGGTCCACGTTTATGTATGCGGCTCAGTGCATTAGCTACTTCTGTTGAATCTTTCGAGGTTAATGGCTCAGCCTCTTTGTATCGACTAGCCACATCCACTACGGTTAAAGCGTATTTATATGTTTTGCGTCTTACCTTATCGTGGGGAAGAAACAAGAGGTCAGCCTGATGAACTTCATTCGTTGTAAAAATATCAAACTTCTTCCTCGGTATATAATGCGGTGTTGGTAAGTATATTTGCCACATCGCTTGTTTCTTTAACCAATCTTTAGATACCTTAGCCGCGGTGGCTAATTTTTTTATTGCTCCTATACCTTTCCAATATCCTTGTGGTCTACAATAAATTTTATTCATTATTAATTAATATCAAGGATTCTTTTAATATGATATTATGACGATTGTTAAATCTCATCATCATTTTGATATAAAACATTCCCTCTGTATTGGTGGTATAGGTATATGAATCTGGCTCTAGTGGAAGTGACCCAGAACCCCTATCATCTATACTACTGCTTTCTCAATATTGCTGACACATACTGAAATGTTGAAGAACTTGTCAGCTTGGATTGTAGCCCCCTAGAATGTTTCAGACGACAATATGGCTGCAGATATATCACTCATGTCATCTGCAATGACAGATCTGGACTGCCACATACTAAACACTGCACCTGCTCTAGTTGCCAAAACTCTGCAGACGATGATGAACCTGAAGGCTTGAGTGACAGTGACTAAATGATTCTAATAAGTATTGGAGAAAAATAATGAACTTGTTAATGAGTTACTGGCAATATTGAAGTAATTGTATGACACTTCAAAGTAAGTCAATATGATCAGCAATTATAGTACATAACATAGGCGAATTATCTTATATATGACAATAACACAATAGATGGAGTTCCTGGTCGAAACCTAAATTTTGACCTTTAAATTTCTCATACATTCCGATGTGAAGACAAAATATTGTCATTTTCCTGTATTGGCGGCCATCTTGGAGGCCATTTTGTCCGCCATATTGGATAAATCAAATTTCTCAAGCTCATATATGTAAGATACTTAAACGATTCATGTGTTCAAATTAAACGATTTGATGTACAAGAATGTTTGGGGAGTCATTGTAATTTTTTAAATATGCTTTTATATATTTGTGGGTTTTTTTTAACAGGATGGGGTTTGGATCACATTTAGTAAACTTTCATACAACATTACACCTGTATTGATTGTGGAAGTTTTTATAAAGCTCCTAAAGCATTCAGGCAGATTTTGAGATATCACATAACATGATTGTCAATATGGAGGTTACATTATCTTTAATTTTGAAGTAATTTGAAAATGAAAATTGAGTGATTTTTTCCTGTTTTTGACACAATTAGGCTGATAACTCAACTTAAACCATTTTACTACTTGTATTTGTGTTCTATTAGTCAGCACACAGATTTTGTTTATAAAATTAGCATTGCAATATGCAAAAAGTCTTGTTTAGAGCCATTTATTTGATTTACTTAATTCTGTAATACAAATATGCATTTTACCACCAAAAATCATGTCTGCCACCAAAAGAAATCACCACAACCATCATTTTCTAATGCAAAAATGACATCTTGTGAAGAAAAATGTGGTTGTGCTTTGTTCTACTGTGGGGAGGGGTTACTCCTTAAATAAGCCTCCTTTTAAGGGTTGGCCACTACTCTATAAACTCTGATTATGTGACTCTATTCAATTCTCCAGGCGGTAGACAACAGGTGAACATATTTGCCAGACGCATTTATCCTCAAATCTCAGATCATTTCACGTCAGTATAACGAAGCAGAGCAACCCTTATGGGAATCTAACTGTAGACCTAAGACCTTACACGAGTGAAAAGGAACGACAACAACCTAATATTTTAACAATGAATCTGAACAAAAAGCAGACAAACCTGTCAACACAACCCAATTTGCCCCCTAACAACAGTGCTGTAAAAGCGCTGATTCAACCAAGTAGCACTCAGATGTATGGAAACTCTCACCAACATCACACCAATACAAGAGCACACGAAGCAAACGTTCATACAAGCCAGAACTTCAACAGCAATAATTATTTTGATGACATAACAAGCGACTCTTCTGACGACGACACAAGTTCCCATGTCATGGCTATTACTTGTACCGATTGTGGAGTCTTAATAGTGAGTGAGTTGGGTTTAACGCTGCTGTTAACAGTATTCCAGTTGTATCACAGCATGTCAGCTTAATGTGGGAAGAAAGACTGAAGTGGTGCAGGTCCTAGACGTTTACCACTTCAGTGAAACCCTCGAGCACGGGTATGGTGCTGACAAACCTAGAAACAAATAATCAGGGCGAACCAGGATTCAAACCCACAATCATAGGTTTCTGGGGTGTCCAAGGGACACAACACTGTACAGCGAATTGCAGCACCTCAAATGCCCCCTATTCACATATGCTATCATCCAGATAAAAAATCTATCTTATGTATGTCATCTCCTTGGAAATTGTTGCAAAGTAACAGTAAAATTTGAAATGGTTCCTGGGGAAAACAATGAATGAAACGATACTATCACACATACAACTGTGTCAATACTGGTCCCAGGCAACAGACCGATCCAGTCTGTCAACCAAAATTGGCGCATGCCTCAGTTTGAGCCAATCAGAAGGCTGGGCGCGCCTTGTGGATTTGTCAGACTTACTTCCGGGGTCAAACCATACCCGACAAGCGACGTGGCTACGGTTTGTGCTATTTTCACTCGCAATATTCATTAATTATCGCTGGGATTAGATGTATACCTTTACCCAAACCCACAGGGTCGGGTGAAAAATGTTTGAGGCTGATCAAAGATGTGCGGTAGGCCTCACCATCTGATAAATGTCGCCACCATCTTCCATGGGACCCACGTCTGCTCGAAGGTGAGAACTTGCACGAATTTTCGCTCTTTTGCACATATGCATACTCAATATGGGTAAATGACAACACATAGCAAGTGATGATTTTACGCATGTTATAAACAAGCATAATGCTTGTAACTACAAAATCGTTTTTGAATTATGTATTTTGGCAACATCGGGCATTGAGTTAGCAGGTCATATTGCTGAAATGTGACACGCGAGACGGCCGTGACACACTGTAAACAAATATGACAGTGATCTGATTTCGGTAAGTGCAGACCGAAATCTAGTATTATTTACACTGAAGTACAATCTAGTGGAAATTGTACTCCTCTCTCTTAGATATGATTTATTTTGTTACAGATTTTTAGATATGATTTAGTTTCAAAATCAAAATAAGTCTATCTATTAATATTGCAAATTACTCGAGCATAATATTGCAAATTACTCTAGCAGTAGACATAGAAATATGATCATTGTCAATGGTTTTCGTTCCACAAAATCTTTTAATTTAATTCATATAAGTTCCCATTAAATCATGCTTTGACTATTTCAGCATTTCTATGAAGAGACAGGACCCATGCAGTAATGAATTACATGATCCTAATCTTGTGAAATGGAATCATCCCTTCAAGGTTAGAAAGAAGAGGAACATTTCGTGAGAAGGAAGTGAATTACTGAAATATTTTGACAGGTTGAATTAAAAAAATCATAGTTGATATAAGAGTGAGTGAGTGAGTGAGTATGGTTTTACGCCGCTTTTAGCAATATTCCAGCAATATCACGGCAGGGGACACCAGAAATGGGCTTCACACATTGTACCCATGTCGGGAATCGAACCCGGGTCTTCGGCGTGACGAGTGAACGCTTTAACCACTAGGCTACCCTACCGCCCCCTGTTGATGTTGGAGAATTATTCGTTTAAAATTGTTTGCAACATAAGTTATTCACTGGTAGTAGAAGCTTACTGATATACATTTTATTGAAACAATATAACTGTTTAAAATGATTATAAGTGTCTTGTCATTTTAATTAATTTACTGGAAATAATAGCAAGTTTTTTTATGAACTCAGAGTAACATATTCAAGTAATGATATAAATTATAATCTAATCAAGTTATTAATAATCATTCCAACAAGTTATTTAATTGATGCCGTATAAAAGTAAGATTAATATGATTTAATTGCACTAACAAACACTAAATGTTTGATAGTACAACATCCACCTGGTATAAAACTTAGCTTGTTGGCTCTTTCTTTAAGACATAATATTATTTGAAAAAACAATGTGCGCCCATACAACTATCCCTACGCCCCTACAACTGCCGATGAACTATGCACAGCTGGTCTGGATGTGTGCAGGAGGATCCCTAGGCCACAAATCGTCTGATCCACTCAATGTACAGGAGATGTGTGGCAGTGATCAATGCTAATGGTGGTCACACCAGGTATTGACTTACATTTTGGGTATTGACCCGAAACTGTGTAAGCCCTTAACATTTGAAAAAACAATTATGTCATCTGCCTTTTAATCCATTTAACTGTCTTCAGTCAAATCTTTGTCAATCTTGCCCTATTAGTATTTCTTGTCTTTACTGTTGAAAATAAATAACATGTATACTGCATACTCGACTTGCGTTTCTTTTGCGTGTGAGTATATTATTTAGTGTTATGTCCTATAGGCATGTGGTTTCTGGAGCAATAAAGGAATTATTTCTTAAGTAACAGACATGATGTCAACAGGTAATTTTGTTGATCAAAACTTTGAACTTATGACATATTTAAGTCTTTGGATGGCATTTAGAAGTGTTACCCATAAGGAAGAGAATTTAAGGATGGTGGTGATCCTCATAATTAAGAAGTTGACATCCATAAATTCTCTTCGTTATGAGATATTTGTTGTACTTAATTTACCCGGGGTACATGTTTAGTTGTTAACAGTAATAATTCTTGGATTCATGACAAGTCTTTTGAATAAAAGATCATATATGAATTTTAATTTGTGTTGTAAATTTCATCAATGCAAGTTAACTGATGGGAAGTACTGCAGACCCTGTCTTCAGATACTTTTACCGTGGCAGGTTTCCCTTTTCTGGAACATGGATCCCATTGATTTGATATAACCATGGCAGTTACAGGTGCTCATTTTATCTTGGATCTTCTCAATGTTTTCAACTGTTCTCACATCCATGTACCTAAATACTGGCAGTTTATTTAGTCCAATATTCTGGAAGTGTGATCAGGGATTTTTATCTAAATTTAGAATTCCAAACTAAGTGCGCTTGGCAGAGAGATCGGAGAAAAAGAAAATAACATAAATTCCTTACATTATGCTTTGTTTTAATGGCATAGATATGTTAAAACGTTTGAAGGGGGACAGTTTACTTACATCTGATGCAGATTTGGAGCTGAATATCAGCCTCTGAGCAGGTCTAGATTTATCCCTGGTGACATGCCCAACCCCATGTTCCAGATGCCCAAATAAAATGTATGTTATGATTCATTTATTATATAATAAAAACCAATGTAGGAGTGTGGGGAAATAACGTACACTAACTCTAAGCCTTTTAGGTTATATTGGTTTTACGTAGAGCACCAGACAAAAAACATGGGCAATGCAACTGTTGACAATCTATTTATAGATATCCACATGATTTGTAACTTCGTTGTGCTTGTGTTTACGGTTTCCAGTACTTTCCATACACTTAAATTACGATGGAAATTTTAACCCAAATTTAGTTACTCCGCCCTTGGATGAATAATTTATTATTGACAATATAGTATGCTCTGCCTGACATGAGTGCTTTGAAGTAGTGCACACTTCTAACTTTCAGCAGCCATGGTGACTTCCTCATTGACCGATACACCATTGCATCGGACTTTTGACTCATTCTCACTCTGATATGCAATTTGACAACTAAAATGGAACCCAAAACAGATCATGTATAACTCTCTTTAGATATTTTTGACACACGACCGGTAACAAAGCATTCTGAGCCAAATTCATCCCCTGCTCATTCAAGTTTCGCCGGCTGTGACGCCATAGCGAATAGCCAGCGGCTGTCCCCCCTAAAACGAGGACGGCAGCTTGTGGGCGGGGCTTATCGGTCGGGCCTGGATCGGTCTATTACAGACAGTTCTTTTTAACTGTCAATGATCAAACTTGACTGTCTTCTCCTCACAAAAGACTATCCACAGAAGATCTTTGGTCCCAATCCATTGATATCTGTCAAAACTATTATTCAGAAAAAGGTCACTGACCTTTGAAGAACTATACAAAGGACCAAATGTGTTTTTAAAAACATATATATTTGTCAATTGTATTGTCCAAACACTTGCAATTGCATACAAGTTAGCTAATAAATCAAGTGCTTAATGTACCACAAAAAGCACAAAAAAATAAAAATAAAAAATATATATGTATAGATGACAAAATAACTTGTTATAAATGTTCCTTTTATTGTAAAGTTGAACAAAAATAATATCAGTAGAAATAATGTGAAAATGGATACTTTGGCAAAGTGTGGTAAAATTGCTGCTTCATTATATTTTGCTGATATGATACTGATAAATGAATAATAGAGCAACAAGGCTCTGTAGCTCACCTGATATATGAAGAAATAATTTTATGATGCTTCAACCATATTTTCATGACATATTATTAGTGAGCTAATGACAAATTGCTGCACTAAACTATGAAAAAGATCACACAACATATCTTACAAACACAGTTTATGACAATGACGTTTCCTCCACAATCTGGTTATTACAAAAATAAGATTCTAAATCCTTTTGATAAATTAGATTTTAATAATATCTGAAGCAAAAACTTAAAATAACACACAATGAAATGAATATGAATTAGATTTCTTCATGAGAAGGAATCTAACATATTAAATTTTAGTTTCATCAGTCAAGCAGAATCAGAGGAGAAGATAATTAAAAGCACAGTAAAAGTGCAAAAGTATTTCTATTGCAAAGGTCAGTGTTGGGGTAACTGAGAGTCATGTACTTGTAAGTAGTCTGGCACAAAAAAGTCCTTGTTAGGAAAGACTGTAGGTCCCTTACCATTACCTCCACATCCGAAGCAATGGTTTGACAGGCCAACGGGTAGCTAACACACTTGGCAAATTGGCTTCCACACTTGCCCCGCAGTCCATGCACAGCTTTGACCTGCTTGAACTAGTTTTGGTATTTTCTCCTTTATCCCGAGGTGTAGGATAGTGATACTTGGACCTGGACCATCCTAATGAGAGTTGTTTACCACTTTCCACTGCTCCCCAACCTATAAAGATAACTTGATGCCACAAGACAGTGGGTAGTGCTCAGAAATGATTTTTCATTTTGTGATTGATAATTAACATCATCAATTGATCAATAATTGATAATATATTGACAGCTAATGTTAACATTAATGAAAAGCTCTCAGAAGGTTTATGTTTTATGGATGCTTTTGCGATGTCAGGTTGTTTCCTTGAGACTGTTTTCTTTGGTATCCTAATTGCTAGCTTACTTCAATTTGTATTCATCAGTTTGGAAGTAAAGACAAGACTCACTGACAAGTTTATGACTTAATGGTATTCACACAGTACAACTGTTTGGTACAACTTGTTGTATGTAATCAGTTGTACGAACTGAAGTATACAACTCGGCATTCACATGGCAGGAAGTTGCATACAACTCAGATCTGAAAAATTAAAAAAATGGTTTGAAAAGCAAAAATTGCTAAATGTAGTCTAAGTTTCTGCTTTGCTAATAAAAAGGCTTATAAAATAAGTAGCCACACTCGATTATACACAGATAAAGTACAGTGTGACGAAATGTATTATTTGGCAGCTTTAAACTGTGAGCAAACAAAATACTGTCTTATTTCCGAACAACATTATGACAATTATTGATAACCACATTGGTTCATTTTCAAGGATAATGAATGATTTTCATCCATTTTTTGTTTTGGTAATAATATAGAAGAATGTCCAATAAAAATCAAGAAAGTGTCCTATGGCCAGTTGAAACGAGATACTTTTAGGGTTTATCCCAATTTATAACAAATGTTGAAGCGGTACCACAAAAAGTAACAGTATATATACTACCATTAATATTTCTTTACAGTATAAAAAAATTTGATTAAAAGAACGGAATGTCTCTTTATCAAGAAAACAGCTCCCCAACCCCACTCACTAATGCACACGAAGGAAATATGTATAGCCTGCAGTGTGTTACATTCACAAAGCATCTTTTAGGAAAAATGTCAACTTCTATGTTAAAAAACCCAGCAGATTATAAAAAGTTTCATAAATTCTATGTCATTTGAGGTAATATTAGTAACAGTAATTCAGTCATTTACTCATTTTGCAGCATCACATTTTGTTTACAGGGTGAAAAGATATTTAAGAGATATTCAAACAATAATTCCATGAAACAGTAAACTACTTTATGAAGTGAATGTGCTGTGTACTATAATTCACACGCACCTCAAAGAAAATAACAAATATGTACAACAATGTTGACATATACTAATACGACATCACTACCAGTAACGTCCCTTCACAACATACAGTAGATAGTTCACTGATTGCAGTACACACAGACTGTTCAGAATAGGTTTTGCCATGATGTTGGGATTGCATATACATAAACGAGTCATGTGAGTTAAGTAATGTGAATCAATCTTATATCAACATGTTCTATATGTTTTTATGATTCCATTCTAGCCTTGATACTATGTGGAAAGGCAGACCAATACTGTTGTCAATGTGTTCCTGATTTTGCATTGGTCGTGGCGTCACGTTGAAAATCTATGACATGTGTTTGTGTGTGTGATGTATTTTAAGTTTTAGAAATGTATTGTGGATCTAATCTTATCTAGGTCTACACAAGAGTGTACAGTCAAATAGCCTGACGTTTCAAATAACACTATGAACAAATTACCGGTAACCTTGAGAATAGGTCAAATGCATTCAAAATATATAATTTGTGACAGGTTATGTTACATACCGTATTCGACGTAATAAGTGCCCTGCTCTAATAAGCACCCACACTGATATTTGCTAATATATTGGCTAGTGAACAATCCCAATTAGCATCCCATCCGATTGAAGACTTATTTATGCACCCTTAATTATGGGCAAATAAATTCTGGAAAAATACATCTGTCGTATATAAACTTTTCAGGCTGTCAGCATAAACCACGAAATTTATCTTTCAACTCTGTTTTTTACACCAAAATAATATTTTAATAAGAGCCCCCTATTTCTAATTTTGAGGGAGCCCTGGGCACTTATTACGTCGAATACGGTACCTACTTTTCAAAGGTCCTTTATTGAATGGTGACACTTAGGATACGGAAAAGCAGAAATTACCGATGAGAAACAGAATTGCCATTTCTGTTTACAAATTGACGTGTAAATATCTCGTGATTTTCATACACAATTTGATTGGCTGCGTTCATACATCTAGTATGATCTAGCATGAAAATAGAGCAAGTCCTATTTCGTACAACTCACATCCAACAAGTTGCATACATCAAAAACTGGCCCAACCCACTCAATGCAGCAATTATGGTAACAAAATCTATGCTGTACACATTCAATAGAAAAAAGTCAAACCAATCTTTTTAACTAATTCAAAAAGAAATACTTAGATTTTATGAAATTACAAAATGTATTGCATATTCAAATTGTAATTACCGTACTCAAGTTTCCATGCCTTCTGGCCTTCCCTACATGTATTATTTAGAAACTCTGTTTAACTATGATATATGATCTGTCCATGCTACAAACATGCCAATAATTTCACAATAAATCCAAGCACACTCTATAATGTATTATATTGAAATGTAAAATATGATGGAAAATGGAATAAAAAAATAAAATAATAATAATAAAAAAATATATATAATACGCCCGGCCTGCCTGTTCACCCTGTAACAAATTGTATACAAGTGGTTGTACTGTGTGATTGCCCCTTTACCCTAGCAACATGTTTTCTGTCTTCACAAGTGCCTTTGTTTTATCAACCAATCAAATATTTGCTTTGTGTCTACATCACAATTTTGCAGGATATATTAAAGATATTTCTGTGTAAAACAGCCAGGACCAAGTTTCAGAGGATATAAAGTTAATGACAACAGCATGAACAGTCAGATGAAGGACAGTGTGCCATGATAAACACTCACTTTACTTTCTGTCAGGTGAGCTTTCTGAAGTTGTCACCTTGAACATCATATAAAGAAAATGAAATTTGAGTTGATATGTACATCATTGTAATAATCATCCACACAAAGCATCAGTTTAATACCTGAATATTTAACAAGATTCAAAACACATGACATGTCAAATAATCCTTTGGTCAAGGTGTCTGAAGTATCTATGTAACAAAATATCAAAGAAAAGTTTCAGCCAAATTTGGCTGACATATAACATGGTACATTGGTATTAGAACATTGAAACATACCTTTGTTTCACATGGAAAAAGAAAATTTAATCACTGTAACGTACTCATACTCTCAGAGGGCAATGATCACAAGACCAAGTTGCACAATAATCTCAGTCTCGTTTCATTGTGCAATCACTAAACTCTTTCAGGTGGTTACCTTGACACTCAGGGCAGCAGGCAATGTCCATCAGATGAATGGTTGTTGGGTGTAAGGGGCATGTCACACGAATGCGACCAATAAAAACATGTCCACATGCCTGACACAGAATGTTCTTTGTTTTTCGTTCACATGAACAACTTCCACTGAAGTGTCTGTTCAGGTGTTGCATCGTCTCTTTTGCAGGTGCTGCTGATGTGCTTCCACTCTATAACATAAAAACATTATTCAGCTATGTAGCACAAATAAAGTCTGATTTGTTCATAATGGTCTCAAAACAGTTCAGCCAATAACACATCAAATCCAACAGCCCTCAGGGTTGTATCTTGGCTATGCAAATATTTGGTTATGCACAAGGGGTGCAACGATACAGAAGGTCACAATGCTGTACTTATCTCTACACACTGGTCACAATACCATACATATCTTGATATGACAGAGTAACAACTTGACATTCCACATAGCACTGCTTTTGTCAATTTTCATGTGATGACAGGAAAGACGTAAATCTGATTAGTTAAATAATGGCCACCAACTGTTTCTTCATTTTCACTTGCTCTCTGCCATATTTAGCTTGTGTGTAAGCAGCCGGTCTGATGCGCCCTACGTTTCATGCCTAGAGCTTGGCTGTTGAGTAAATGTAAACACACACACACAAAAAATACCAGGACGCTTTAGCGAGATGATGATTGGCGACCATTTAATAACAGCAGTCATTGCAGGCTAGAATGGGTCTCTTGCTACCCATGCCTGTCATATGAGGCGAGTAACAGGATCAGGTGGTCAAGCTCGGTGACTTAGTTGATACAAGGCATCATATCCAAATTGAGTACATTAATGCTTATGATGTCAACCATAGGATTGTCTGTTCTAGACTTGATTATTTATGGACCACCATCACATAGCAGCAATACTGCTGAGTGCGGCCTTAAACAACAAACAAACATTTGTTTAGTTATGCATAGCAATACAGTCCATATGTACTCTGAATGTGACAGTGCATCAGAGTTGCACCATTAGTATACACATGGTACACATCAATTATTTACCCAAGCTGTACTATTTCAAATTCAGTCAGTCAACAGAAAGCTGATCTACCAGATAATTTGATTGGGCAATTCATTGTAATTCCCTTTCATACATGTACAATGGAAAAAAAGTAACTGTGCTTCAAATACAGTTCATTGAGTATTGACTTTCACTTGTAAGTTCATTGGGGTATGGACCTTTTTAGAATAAGGACCAAACTGAAAGAATGTTGGAGCTTACAACAATGTTACTGAATCTTTCAATCAGAATTTAAGGTTGTCATTTGTCAGTTGGGAGCATGATACTCACACATGTGGTTTTAGAATATGAACAGCACACGTTGCTCATAAAACAATTTTGTTTAACTGTAAATAAGGCTTAAGCTTAAGCCAGTCTACAAGCTGTGGGTATGCTGCAAACAGGAATTGTGCAAACCAAAGTTGCCAGACATTTTAATGTTCACTGAAACACAATATCATCTGTTTGGAGATGTTATCTATAGCAGGGCAACATTCATGACAACCATTTTGTCTTGGTGCATACCAAACTGCCACTTTAACAGCTCAGACAATTCCTGGGTTGAGACCAAGGAGTAGCACAACCATATGCAACTGGTTGACAAAGCACAACATCCGGCCCAGATGTTCAGCAATAAACACAAGTTTTGCTTCCATGTTACCGTCAGGCACACCTAAATTGGAGTAGACAGCAGCTGATGTTCTGAAGACAAGATTGGAACAGCATACTGTTCACAGATGAGTACAGGTTTCATCTGGACAGCTCTGAAGGTCTTGCAAGGTCTACAGGTGAATGTTTGTGTTACTCAACATTGTCAGTTTGAAGTTGGAAGTGTAATGGTATGGGGCAGCATTATCATGGGAGAACACAACTCATCATTGTTAATGGCAATTTAAATGGCATACGCCACCAGCACAAATTGTTCGACCCTTTGTGCAAATGCAGAGACGTAGTGTCACATTGCAGCTGGATAATGGATAATACACATAAGGAAGAGAATTTATGGATGTCAACTTCTTTATTATGAGGAACACAACGTTTCTGAGTATATACTTACTCCTTCATCTGGTGAATTAATGCTATGAAGCAGAAAACATATAAATAGTTGATTGTTAATAACAAAGTTGGGATGAAAAACAAACACGGATGTTCCTATCATAGTTACAGCATAGAGAATTTCCATCTCGGTTTTCAAAGTCCAATCATACTGAAAATTTTACAATAAATTGTACATTTATAATACTATCCTATCCTACACTGTGAATATCATCCTTGTTCTTTGATATTGGTGTGGAAACAATCCCAAAACTAAAAAAATCCACCCAAACACATCCCAGCCATCTAACACTGTTCATTTATCCCACATTGGTTGGTGGGGCACAGATACCCAAGCCTGAAAAAGACATCAAACATAAGATGTACGTGAGACTCTTGCAATCGTTATATTGTTAAAAGTCGTCAATGAAAAGAACTTGTGTATGGGCTACTTCTAAAATAGAACCCCTTTGCACCACTTGGAATGTACTTATCCTGAGGTCGAATGACCGCATAGCATATAAACTAGGCCTTGACTTAAAACTTACCGGGTGAACCTGTGGGAGAGGGCGAGGTCTTCCAGATCATCTGGGCCTAGTATCGAGAAAAGCGGAGGGATGTGAACAATCTATCTGGCTGACCAGGGAGTTGGTACTTTGTAATGAAGTCCCATTGTAAAGGAAGACTGTCTAGAGTGTGATATGCTCAAGGTCCTTTTCAGCCAAGGCTTTGTAAGCTTCAGATGATAGACTATGTAGTATGACGTTCAGATCCTAGCCAAGAGGTCTGAATCGAGACAACTAGTCCGCTAGTTTGTAAGATCGAATCAGCACTTGTAATTCTGCCATCGTTGAAATTTTTGATCCTCTGGTCATGGCGATCACTGAATTATTGGTTTGTTTGTTGTTTAACACCTCACTCAGCAATATTCCAGCCACCTGACCACCCGATCCCGTTAGTTGCCTTTTACGACAAGCATAGTCACCTTTTACGGCAAGCATAGGTTGCTGAAGACCTATTCTACCCCGGAATCTTCACGGGTCCGGATCTTCAGTGAATTGATAACAGCCAAATAATGATAATAATAACAATAGGCCATTTATATTGTACATATTACATTCTGAATGCTAAGGGGATGCTGTAGTCTGGGATCGAATGACCCAAGTCTTGCAGTATCCTTCAAATGCCGTCCACTTGTGCACCTTCAAGATTGCTTTGTTACTGCTGCGGAAACCGCTAGACTGACTATGGGGACACACCAGCGACACATTAGTGCGGACACCGTGATTGACGAGCAGACACCTCCACTGTCACAGGCCACACCAAGGACTTTCTGACACCACATCATCGCCAGGATTGTCTTCAGTGGGCAACACAGCACCGGCATTGGCACCACCAGCAGTGGAGAAGAGTCCTCTTCTCAGAAGAGAGCCGTTACTGTATCTCAACAACAGATAAAAGAGAGAGAGTCTGGCGACGACATGGGGAATGTTATTTGGATGCTTGTGTTGTTGAGAGAGACTCGTGGGGTGGTCCGAGCATCATGCTGTGGGGTGGAATTGGTCTTGCACAGAGGGTCGGCCCTGTGGTCTTCCAGAACATCGGTTCAGGGAGAGGCAATGGTGTCAAAGCAGCTCAGAACATTGATCAAGACTTGAGACCACACACCATACCTCATTTGGCACGTCTCCGCAACCACGAGTTTCAGCATGATAATGCCTGTGCCCACACTGCAAGAGCTAATGAGACATCCTCCAGCAGAATGGCATCAGAGCCATGCAGTGGCCAGCCCTCAGTCCCAATTTAAACCCCATTGAGCACCTGTGGGACGAGATTCAAAGACGGCTGAATGACGCCCTACCAAGGCCGACAACTGCAGCTGAACTGCGTCAGGCATCCCTCAGAGTGTTGGCTCAAGTGCCTATGGCTTTCATCAACCGCCTCATCCATTCCATGTATCGACGTTGCACGGCAGTCATCAATGCAAATGGCGGACACGTCACAAGATACTGACTTGTGATGCCATTTTCTCAGAGACTAGTGTTGTGTTTCACTTTAAGAATATTTGACACTTTAATTTCAACCTTGATGATCAGTTTTGCCAAGTTTCATCTTTTTAATATACGTCAAAGTATGTTTACAGTGTTTGGACAAAAAAGGTTTCTTATATAACTATCCATGGTGATGTTTCTTTTGTGGTTAAGTATATATAGATTCACCAAGTCACGATTCTTAAGGGATGACTCAATGTCTTTCCGGGTTGAGCGTCTGAATGTCGACGTCTAGCTCTGGTGTGCTGCATAGATGCACTCCCAGTTCTTGTATCAAGGTGACGATGAAACGTGGTGCATTGGTGTGTACAGCTCCATGTGCAGACATTAAAGCCCTACTGAAAGCTGGTGACCTGATCACTTACATGTATAACTCGATATCATTAAGTGCCTGACCAATGAGTCTACAGCAGTAGCCTGCAACCTCGGGGTATCGCGGTACTTGTCATGTATGCTGAACAGAACAAAATGCACTCACTAACCATTATGATTATTCGTGTAGTAGTATAGGTAATGATGGTTCTGGACCACTTCCACTGGAGCCGGATTCATATACCTATACTGCTACTACAGGGGGCATTTTTTATGCCAAAATGATGATGCGATTCAATGATAGTCATAAGATTAAGTTAAATTGGGTCTAGCTCACCAATACCTGGGGCCAATCATTGCTTTAGATGAGCCTAAATGGTAATAAAAATATTCTTTATTATTTTTATCAATAAAGCGATATTCAACATTTTTATTAAGTTCTTCGTTCATTTAACTAGGAGACCAGACTATATAATTACACTCTTCTTGTAAATTGATAAGAAACAATTGATAACCGTATTTGGTTGGTTTGACATCACTGATATAATAAAAACTTTGTGGTAATTCTCTCCATTTAATAGCTTTTTCAACTGTTGTGTTGTAATTCTCCATTATTATATATTTATGTAAGCATTTGTCTAAATGTGATCTAACGA